ACTGGACGGTGGAAACAGGTAAATAACAAAAAAATGAATCATGTTAGGTTTTATTTTAGAGAGAAAAGTTTTGACAGCTTGTTTTGCAGATTATTATTTGTTAAGTTTTGTTTTAAAGGAGTTAGGTTTTTTTTTTTTCTTTTTTTTTTGTCAAACGATATATTTTGTTAGATTAGATGTTAGGTTCGTCACCGACGGGATTTGAACTCACGCCGTCATGCAAGGGCTTAATACCCTTCCACCACTGTGGTAAAGGATCACTTACGAGGAGTTAGGTTTCATGTCCCTCTTTTTTTCCTTGTATTTTTCTTATTTTCGTTCTAGAAGAATAAGTTTATGTTCCATTTTTTTAATGTATTTTTCATCTTTTTTTTCTTATATTAGAAGGGCTAGGTAAGGTTTATTTTCTCTGGCTAGGAACAACTTCTATTTTTACTATTAATAAAAATTCTCTTGCATCATCGATGTCTTTTAAATAAAAAAACACGATGTAATATGTTATTCAGCCTACCACGTGACACAATAATTTTTTTTCCATCGCAATGTGGTGTGATAATTTTTATTTTTATTTTATCTTTTAATTAGGACATCTCCAACGAAAGTTCAACAGGATAGCTACCGTAGCAAAAAATTTAACTTTTTAAACAGCTGCTCGCTAGATGTAGCGAGGAGGAGACAAAAAATTCAAGGCTAACCAAACATATTTTAATGTTATTTCGCTGTACGCTCGCACACCAGCCGTTTTCTAGAAGCTTATGCAACTCAATGAGACCGCCACGAATATCCAATATGCACTAACTTTACTAGCGATAAGTTAAATAGCTATCGCTAGTGAACTCGACTGACTGCTAAATTAGCATTGGAGTGTTTGATAAAAAATAAAAAAAAATAATGAAAAGTACTTGAAAACTTTGAGTTTTAATGATAAGGATAAAATAAAGGGTAAAGAGTATAGTACCAGGATTGACTTTTTAGTGTAAAAATATGATTTTTCGTTAAAGTGAATAATACTGTGAACTTTTTGTTAAAACCTCCCAACAAAAAAAAAAAAGCATTGGAGTGATGGCCGGCTAAAATAGGAAAAAAAAAAAAAAAAAAAGAGCTAAATCTAAGAGTGACGTTCTTCAGAGGAAATGGTTAGCATTTTCGATTGAATCAAGTGAGATGGGTCTCGTTATAAATCTGGGACCACAGATATTGGGTATTAAAACAATAGCATTATAGCTTAATTGTAGTAATAGTTCATACACTTTATCTAGTTTAATTTTTGTCTTCATATTTCTTTAGTTCTTGAACTTAACACGTATTGTATTATTGGTCCTTTTCATTAATGCCGTCTATTTTTCTTTTAAATTTAGGGGTATATTAGTAACTTGAACCCATATCATTAAAAATGAATTTTAAAATGAGAAATGAAAAAGACTAAAAAAAACCCAAAGAATTATAACTTTTTTTTTTTTTTTTGTGTAAGAAAAATGAATACATAGGAATTTTTTTCACAGTTCAATATGTGATTTCTTAGTTGGTCCAATCACAGTTCGATCTCCTGCTAACTTTGAAATTACGTAGCCTAATATTTACAACTTGCTAAAGTCTGACCATTTTCCCTTTGTATTTTTATAGTTCAAATTTCATTTTGTTTTAAGTTTTAGATATTAATTTATAAATTTTCATTTGTTTTGTATCTTCTTCTTTTTTTCTTTTTCTTTTTTTGAAATTTTAAGTTAAAGTTCCTAATATACACCTAGACTAAACGGAAAAAAAAAAGACAGTGTTAGTGAAAATGACCAATGGTGGAACACATTATTAAATTCGAGAACTAAAGAAACTAATATGAGAGTTCAGAAACTAAATTTAGACTGGAAATAAAATTCAGGAACCATTGCTACAATTAAGCATAACACAGTTTCCGCACGCTATGTTGTGTTTATATTATTACGAGTAATGCTAGAGAGACTAAATTTATAAACTAAATTTGCAAACTAAATAATATGTCACTAATAGGAAATGAGCACATTTACCAACGTTTAAATAATAATGTAATCATCAACTTCCATGTCATTTAGTTTACAAAATTTAATCTACAAATTTAATTTCTCTAGCATTACTCAATATAATACAAACACAACATAGCATGCGGAAACTGAGCAGCTATATAACTATCCGATTTCAAGGCCAAGGAGACCAAATCAAATACGCATACGTCTTGGCCAAAAGACCAGAGGCTGCAGAGAGAAGGTCTCTGAGTGAAAAGTTATAGTTTTTGGTTGTGCAGCTATATAAGTATCCGATTCCAAGGCCAAGGAGACCAAATCAATAAGCATACGTCTTGGCCAAAAGACCAGAGGCTGCAGAGAGAACAAGTCTCTGAGTGAAAAGTTATAGTTTTTGGTTGTGACCAAGCACCAAAAAAATAATGGGGAGAAGCCCTTGTTGTGCAAAGGAGGGCTTGAACAGAGGCGCTTGGACTGCTCATGAAGACAAAGTTCTCACTCAATACATCAAGCTCCATGGTGAAGGCAGATGGAGAAACCTTCCCAAAAAAGCAGGTAACTATTAAACCAAAATGCTAATCAGAATCATTAGTAGCTTACACATTTTTTCTAGTTACATTGGAGGGTTTCGAATCCTGAATCTAGCTTACTCCTGCGTACCTACCTTCACCGCTGGGCTAACCGCTAGTTCATTCCTGGGTTTATGTGGGTTTTCTAATTAATTAGTGCTTAATTATATAAGCAGGTTTGAAAAGATGTGGGAAGAGCTGCAGGCTTAGGTGGTTGAATTATCTGAGGCCAGACATTAAGAGAGGCAACATATCTCCAGATGAAGAAGAGCTTATCATTAGGCTTCACAAGCTTCTGGGGAACAGGTACTTTTCTTCTGATTTTTTTTTCTATTTTTTATTTATTTATTTATGCAAGTTTTTTTATTTTGATTGATTTTTTATGTTTTATTTTCAGATGGTCTCTAATAGCTGGTAGGCTTCCAGGGCGAACAGACAATGAAATAAAGAACTACTGGAACACAAATTTAGGTAAAAAAGTTCATGACCAACAACAACAAAGATCTGCTTCAAACCTCAAGCACCACAAAAATGGTGAACCAAATTCCAAGAACGCCAAAAGTACGGACATGGCATCACCATCATCCCTTGTTTACCGTACCAAAGCTGCCAAGTGTACCCAAGTTTTCATCAACCCACAGCCACACAAAGTCCTACTTGGTCATGATCATCAACACTGCACTGAAGAAACAAACACAGTACTAATGTTTGATGACAAGCCAGCTGCTATGGATGGTGACCACATTAATAGGGCACTGTCGTTTTCTTCATTCTCTAATATCAATGCTGATCAAGAAAATTCAACCTCGGATTTTTTGATGGATTTTGACATAGCCAGTCTTCTGAATTCGGATTTCCCTGAAATTAATCACGATTACTTGAATCATAATAATAGTGACAATATTACGTCACATTTTGTAGATGAAACCGCTCAATTTTTTTCAGAGGAAATGCTGCAACATTGGAATAATAGTGGTAGCGATGATGGTGATGATCAAGTTCAAGTTCAGCCAAATTTGGCTCTCAATTTCCATTCCTTCACTTCTTTTCTGGGTTCTGATCATCAAGGGGAAGAATGGCTTGGAGTTGGAGAGAGTAGTTGAATAATATTTCCTTATTATATCATTATATTTAACAGTGCCTCTTGTGTATTTTTCTCGTGCTCCGTACTTGAAAAGAAAACCTTACCATTTAAGTTGTACTAAATAATTGTAGGAGGACCCTTAATTATATAATTAAGAATCGAATAATATATTGATGGATCATCTTGTCTCCATTATGTCCTACTTTTCTTTGTTTTATATGATCGGTGCAATTGCTTTTGAGATGTACTATTTTCCGATGGAATATTGCCCTTACGGTGTATTTCACATGCTGTCCTGCAGCGGAACAAGAACCTTTTGATTTGTAAGTTGAACTAAAAGCCATGAAAAAAAAAAGAAAGAAATGCTTTTTAGATAAAATAGTTTTGAGATTGACATAACTCTTCACTCTGATTTTTGAGTTTTAAAATCAGTAGAAGTAGTCTTTAAGATTGTCCACTATCAATCATTTTGATCATTCTGTAAAAAAATATCCGTTAAATTGAAAAAACCACTGGTTCAAGCGAATGGATTGATTTGATAAAAATATCCTCAATTTAAAAGATATTTTCCACGGTGGACAATCTCATGACTGCATTTTTGCTCACCATCATTTAGTATGGTGTATACTCATCACCCTATCTATCACCATTAGATGAGTTTGAATTTTGAGATTTGTGCTTATCTACTACACGAATCTCAAAATTTAATATTATCTAACGGTGATAAATAGGATAGTGAACATACATCACACTAAATGGTGATGAGCAAAAATGTTTCCTAATAATAGAAGAAAAAAGGGAAATCAGTAGAGTTTTCACGCATGCTGATAAGAATCATCGACGTAGACCACACAACAACTGATAGATTTTAGATACATGGTTAATACTTAATTCTGTGGAATAAGTTTAATTACATATATGATAGGTACTCAGGGAAAGGGATCTTCCCGGATCTCTTCCATCAAATTCATCCAATCACCTAATCTGGACGCTTGAATTTGATCAAACGGCTCAAGTTATTATAACTTTTAAAGGAACCCCTTGTTTTTAGCCATTGGATCAAATTTCAAGGAGTCCGAATTGGTTGATTTGGTGGATTTAGTGGAAGGGATATTGAGAGGATCCTTTTCCAGTATTCAGATACTACTAGCAACGGTGCTTACACAATGCTGCACGTCTTAAAACTGTATAAAATATGCAGAAAGTTCTAAATACATACAATATGCAATACTATTTACATGTAGAAAACTATTTACAACCTTATGAATTGGCAGTTCTATTGCCATTGTTCTAATATTTACATCTTTTACAAATTGAACTCCTAACTGTCCTTAACCGCAAACTTTTTTTTTTTGTATGTAATTTTATTTACATACAAAAAATAATATTTGATGTGTATATACATACTATTTACACACAAAAATTTGGTAGATAGTTCCTATTGATATCCTCATGAAATATGCAGATAATCAGCCTATTTTACCAAATCATAACCAAACTGTGTGGTTGCAGTTGACTTTACGTCGTCAATGAAACAAAATACCTGAAGTCGAAATAAACGTGAACGTAGAAATCTTCAAGCCCTAAACAGAGTGGCCCTGCTTTTGCAACAAAACAATCCTTTTATTATAGAAAATTACAAGAAAAACTTTTATAAGTGGAAACAAAATTAAGTCAAATGATTAGGGCACCAGAATTTTCCTTGACCATACACACATAAAATTTAGATTTAAAAAAAAAAAAAAAAAAAAAAAGCAATCTCAAATACACAGAGATTGAAAACTCATTAAACAATTTATTAAGCATATATAGGTTCACCCAACAGATAATCTTATTTAATCACACTATTTAATTTATCAAATTGATTATTTAATCTTATCATCCGAGTACGATAAACCAAAAATTCTTCAATCTGTTGCATGTCCATTTCAGTTCTTAAAATCGAATGAAAAGATTAAAGTTTCTTTCTTACCGAAATCCACCAATTTGAATCAAATCCACCAAAAAAGCATACATGTTCTTTCCTTGAATTATACATATATTTGAAAAGAATCAAATAAAGACTAAAATAAAAAATTCTTTCTCCCCTTAAACAAAATTCTATACATGCATATAATTATCTTAACTTCCTGGAAACAATATTGGATAATGTGCAAACGTAGACATTATAATGCTCAGAAAATAGGCCATCTTTTACAGTGATAAACGGTAAGCTTAAGAAATTAAATTACCATTTCACTCGAGAAGTATAAAGTTCGAAAAGGGTAAGTAAAAAGACACACAAAGATATATATCTTTGACGCACAGTCTACCTTGGTCGTCAATGGATGTACAGCATCAGGAACACTGAAAAGCCTAGCAAATTTTCCTAATGTGGCTGGAAAATTGAAGTTTAAATAGTAAGTTAACAACTTAAAACACTAACTGGGATTGTAGCATAGCTTGTATTTCTGCAATATAAATAGTGACAAAAATTCTTGAGAAGCACTTGAAAAAATAAAAAAATTTAGAGAAAAAAATAAAGTCATTAGCAACCCCCATGGTTGTTGTTAAGACACATATATCTACAGATATAAACTTTATCTCACCTCAAAGAGAACGGCAAACAACCACACTCAATCGCCTAATGAAAAAAAATTGAACAAATTAGGATTCAGTTGGTATTAAATTGAAATGGGTTGAATATTATAAAAAAAAAAATGATTAAAGAAAAAACATAATTTATATCTTTTGAGGGAAATCAAATTACCTAATTGAAATTTGTTGGAAATCAAAGGCTTTAACCTCGTATTGGAAATCAAAGTAGAAATATGTAAAAGAGCGGTGACATTCCTGTGGAAGTCTCGAGCATGGAAAGGCACTGGTTTCTTGCAAAACAACGGAAAATAAAATAAGAAACCCGCTAGAAAACTCGACAATAGATTGGTTAAAAAACACTTTAAAATACTCTTTGTACCACTTGGTGATGATAAACATTATTGTTTCCTGATGAAACTAAGTATCCCAAAAATTATCTTTTCCATCTCAGAACATTCAAATTTTCAATAGAACATGGATTCTATAATGTTGGTTAAAATTATCTACACTACAGACATGCAGATTAAGGCAAATACATAGCTAATTACGGAACAAAAAAATCATAACTTGTGTTTAACATGCATAACATACTTTAACTTACAAATAATGAATTTACATGCCTGGCATGGTTGGGGGAGGCTGGGACAGCGACAAAATAGTTGCCTCAGCTGCAATTCAATTTCTATGCATCTGCTCAAGGATAACTCATATGTAAAAGAGGGTGTTCGTGCCCAAACGCGCATATTTTTAAAAGCACAGATATACGTATACAGGTATAAATAAACGACAAAACAGAATTGTTAATTCTAACAAAATTGATAGCACCGAGTGGAAGTTTGTAAGACTCATTTGCACGAAGGTGCTCTATAGAAATTGAAAAGATGGAAAATTGATAGTTCATGATTTTGGTAGTCCATATTAGATTAGCTTTAGATTCTACCAGTTTATTGCATGTCTTTTATCCATAATTCATGTCCTAATTTATCTGTTTAGGTTTTAGTTCTTGCCTTCGGGGGAAAACCCGAAATCTCTACCTCAAATGCTCATCTGCAATCACACTAATGCAACAAATTAATCAATCAATTTCAGAAAAATAGAGCAAAAATTAACAAACCTGAACAAATAGGATCGGGATGAATCTTAGAACATACCTGAGTTCAATTCAACTTGTCCAACAACGATCCCAGCTTCGGGATCACCGATGATAACATAGACCAACACCCTGAAGAACTTGATTCAATGAGAAGGAATAGGAGGAAGAAGAAACAACCCAAGTTTAAACATCGTAGAAAAGAAACTGATGTCAGTACCATAGAGTTTGATTTGGGGATGTCTTTTCTGACTAAACATATAAACCAAGATTGTGTAATATGAATCACAACCATCCAAACACAAACTGTAGTTCATAACTATTGTACAGAGTATAACTCTTACGTACAAATCTAGCTTTACACAAATTGAAATTAATTGTAGTGTTTGACAAAGCCTAGGTGGGCGATTTTATTAGAAGATGAGTTAGGGAGCCTTTGAAACAGAAGAATTCAATTACTGCAAAATGCAAATTAACACACAACAAAGAGAGATTGAGCCATTCAATACGCCTAAAACCGAAGTCGTTAAGTTTCGTTCAAATCAACACAAATTCGAAATAAAACATATACATATATATATATATATAATTGTTATACAATGTACCTGGTCGTGATTTCAAGGCATGGCGTGCCTGGATGGGACTGGAAATTCATCAGAAAGCCGGTTGAACTCCGCGGTCGGAGACGAAAACAAAGACCAATATTCTCAAGGTCTTGCACCGACGATTGTGAGATTGAGATAAAACGGTTGAAACCAAATTTGAGGGCTTTGACAAAACATTGAGAAATCTTGGAATTGAATCACTGAGAAAACATGAAATTTAAACACCAAAGAAGTTAATCGCTAAAAAAACATTAAAAACCAAAATCAGAGGCCAAAAATCCATAAAATTAAAAGATTTAAAATATGGATTTTATTAATCAGGTAGTGAATCAGTAAAATACCACACATGCTACTGAAAGAACTAAATCAAACAACAGTAAAAATTAAACCCTACTTTATTTATTTTTTTAATTCCAAAAAAGGAAGAGAGTAATGATTTTTCTTCACAAACCTTTCTAACCCAATGAAGGACGTTCCTATGAAGTCTTTAAGTGAACATATCTCTTCTGGGTTCTTCATTTACCTGCACAAAGAATCAAAAAGGTAAAAACCCAATAAAAAAATCAACTTTTTTTTCTCTAGAGATTCTGACAGAGAAAACTGGAGAGAAAATTGAAGAGATGTGCACTGACTTTCTAAGAGATAGGTCTAAATGGAGGGGATGCTGTCCAACGGATGAGGATGAGGAAGGAAGCTAGAGAATAAGGGAAGAACATGCCATCGTTTCCATTTTTGCAGAAAAAAAGATCTGCACCGGTTCCGTCATTTTTAGCAAGAGAGTGAGAGAGAATACGCCATCGAGAGAACTCAAGAACGGCTATGGGATAGAATGCCCCTTCTGAGAACATGGAATGGAAGCAAATGGGCTTTTCCATTGCTTTCCTCGCCTTTCCACTGCTTTCCAATTCGTGATGACCAACACGTGTAGACGTGGGGCAGAAAAAGAAAAAACCGATTGCAGGAAATGGCGTGAGAGAGAGAAGCAAAATGAAAAGCGGATAAATCGAACAGAAAAGGCCATCGATGAAGAATGCATGGCCACTGAGGGCAAAGTTGTCCTTTCGCTGTGCAAAGGGGGATAAAAACATAGAACCAAGAAGAAGCTGAAGGGCAAATCCGTCTGGACACTATACATCAATAGTGCCATTTTAGTGTATATAAATTTAGGGTTAATCTCAATTTACTATCCTGAAGTTTCGTGGTTTTCAATATTTGGTACATGAAGTTTTTTTATCCCAGAGTAATACCTCACGTCTTAATTTTGAATTAGTTTCATACATCTGTTAAGTTTTCCGTTAAAACTTTTGTTAATTGACGTCATGACATCTACGTGGCACAACTTTCTTCACATCTTAAATTTCAATAATTTGACTTTTTCACTCCAATTTGCATAAGGGCATGCCTTATAAAATTTGAACGAAGATACTCTTTTGGGAGAATTTCAAAAAATCTTAAATTGTGTCTATTTATTATACATTATGCAGTCAATTTTCGTAATGTACTATTTATATTTAAATTTAAATAAAATTATATTAAATGATTTATAACCACATGATGTAATATGAACGAACACGATTCGAAGATCTCTATGCTTCACACAAAGAGGATCCTGGATCCTCATTCATAAAATCCTATGAGTTCCCTGTTGATTTCAAGAAAACGATAATGTATTAGTCAAAAGAATTGGCAATCATAGAGGATCTTAACAAGTCCGTCAGTATCATTTGTCGTATACGTATGCTTATTGTAACCAGAGAAATAAAGAGAAATATGAATACGACAAATGATTGGTAAGTTGCTCTTTTCAGTTATCTAAGTCTTGCGTCATTTTACAGAGAATAAATACAGGTAAACCATCCTTGTGTGTTTATTTCCTTAATAACGGAGAAGATTTCCTCCATCATGGAAATAATTACGTATCTATTTGTTATCGTGTGACTTGTTACGTGATTTGAACTTAACACAAAATTATATACAACCTACTTAACATAACATTTTTAAGGATAATGCATGTGTTATTCTGATAGAAAAACCTACTTGTCATCATTATCAGAATCATTCATTCTCTTTATCATCATTTAAATATCATATATGCAAAAAAAATCTTTCAATTTGGAGATCATTTTCATAATGCCAACGAGACTTCCTTATTTCTTTGTCAATATTGTGCATATGGACTTTTAATTTGGTTTTGTCTCCTAATGTTCTAAAATGTGTCAACTTACTCTATTGTCGAATATGTCAAATTTAGGTTAAATTGAAGCTAATTTTTGTCCATTTAAGTGGAAAAATTGTCCTAATTTTAAAAGATTAAGGAGACTCAAGACCAAAGTAAAAGTTGAGATTGCAAATCAGAATGCCGTAAGTTAATTGGGCATTTCTAAATTTCTCCCCCTTCTTGAAATACAAGCAAAATATCAATGTATTTGGTTGGGACAACACCAAGATTGATCATCATGGACACAGAGCTGATGAAAGAAATTCTATTAAACAAGCAAGGCCATTTGCCAAGCCATCATATTGAATCCTCTCATTCTCATCCTAACTAGAGGACTTGCAAGTCTAGAGGTGAGAAGTGGGCAAAACATGGAAGGATTATCAATCCTGCTTTCCACTTGGAAAGATTCAAGGTTTCTATTGCCTCGAAAATCTGTTTCTGCTTTCAGAGACTCCATTCTTTTTCGGAATGATTCATTCCTTGTATTTGTCTTGTAGGAAATGATGCCAGTTTTTGCAGTCCCTAAACCCTGATTCATTCCTTGTGTTCCTCTTGGACAAGGACGCTGTGCAGATGTTATTTCCCAAGCAGCGTTTGGAAGCACGTACAAAGAAGGAAAGAGGGTTTTTGAGCTTCAGAAAGAGCTTCTAGTGTTGCCGTTTGAAGCAATGACTACTTATACATTCCTAGTTTCAGGTTCATTTCCATTGTCTAAAGCCTAAACCTATCATATGCTTTCCATCTGCTATTAACTGTTTGAGTGCAAATTTGCTCAAACAAAAAAGAACCAGAGAAAGAAATTGGCCAAGGACATCACGTCAATGCTACGAAACATAATTGAGAAGAAAATGAACACGATAAGGGCCGGAGATCAAGGGTTGATGACTTTCTAGGAGTGCTCTTGCGGTCTAATAACCAGAAGGATTCATCAGAAAATGCAAGCAACACGAAAAGCAACGAGGTATCTGACAGTTGAAGAGGTGATAAGAGAGTGCAAGCAGTTTTACCTTGCCGGCCAAGAAACACCTCAAACTGGATAACATGGTTGTGGACCTTGATTGTCATAGCCATGCTTCCAAACTGGCAAGAGAAGGCAAGGCAAGAAGTCCTTCAAGTTTGTGGGAAAAATGAACTTGATTTTGAAGCTATAAGCCACTTCAAGATGGTGAGCATCTCTCTCTGCATGATAACCCTTTGAAATCACAAAGAGCTTTGCAGCTCCTTCTAAATGGTTGTGTCAAATTCTTTTGCAGGTAACCATGATACTTAATGAAGTTCTAAGGCTGTATCTGCACGCGATACCTGGGTACCAACACACTTACAAGGAAACCAAAATCAGAGATCTCACTATTCCGGCAGGAGTTGACATTACTCTCCCAACCCTACTCATTCACCATGATCCCCGGCTGTGGGGTGATGATGCAGGGGAATTCAAGCCGGAGAGTTTCTCTGAAGGAGTTTCCAAGGCATCGAGGGGCCAGCAGCAAGCGTTCTTTCCATTTGGATGGGGTCCAAGGACATGCATGGGCCAGAATTTCGCAATAATGGGAGCAAAGGTTGCTTTGGCTATGCTTCTGCAACACTAGCTCTTGCCTTCTTACACTCATGCTCCGTAGTACGGTTACTATTCTTCAACCACAACATGGAGCTCTAATCACATTGCACCCAATTTAGCTAGGGTTGCACAAGCCTGTCAATACTAAATCAATATTGTGGTTTGAAATCACAAATTGTGTGGATTTTACATTTCGGGTTTGCTTATACTAAAAAAATATAATGCGTTGTTCATAGTGAAAATGTCCAGATTTAGGGTTTGCTTATTAAGTTCATTGTCTTCTGAGAGCCCCAACAAAGATATCACCACCATTAGGATTTGTCTGTTCCAGTAATTCTGCGATTAAGAAAAATGCATTCAAATTATGAGATCGACCCAACAGAGTGGTAACACAATGTGATCTTTGACAGCCTTGTCTTGTCTGCGGCATTGGATTCAGATGTAATGTACTATCAAGAACACCCGATTTACAAGAGCACAAGATTTCCAATGTCTAACAAAGAATCGAAGATGTAATGTTATTTGCAAACAGAGAACTTAGAAACATCACGAGCACATAAAGAATATGGACTTTATTTCAATGCCATCAGAACAAAAAGGGTTAGTTGCAATACGTTCACTTGAAACAATCCACTCTTCTGCACATTATCAAGGTGTTTAGTCTTACCTATTGGAACTTGTTTTCTTGGATAATGTCGAAGGAAGAAAGTGCCGCAGTTTTTCACTCTCACAAACAAAAACTGTATTGTAAATGGGCAAAAAAACAAACTACAATAAACCATCTATACTTTCCAAAACGGAGTCAATATCTGGGGTTGCAATGGCTCACTTATTCAGCTCGCTGATAATACCAAATCCCTTCTCGTTCTCATTAGTAACCACAACATCCTGGGCAAAACCACACTTCATTCCTGAGCAGACCTGCAGAATATCGACAAGATTTTATACAAGAACGTAGTTAACTCGAGTTTGTTAACACACAGAAATATAAGATCTCTTTTAAGGTATTTTCAGCACGAACGGTTAAGGCTAAAGTGGGGAAGACAAGAGACCACATTTGATTTAGCCTCTTTATTACGAAATGTACTCACATCGAAAAGGCTATCTCCTAGCTTCGGCTTGATAGCACCACTTCTGTACACCAGCATCTTACCCATGTGGCCAGGTGGTAACCAGACAAAGCACAAAACTTTGCATCTTGTGTGCGCTTCCAGGTCGCCCTGAGCTTTTTGTTGCCTCAGGGCCATCTGCTTTAGTTGATTGTTTTATCGTAGGCAGATATTGCGGTGACTGAAGAAAGAACATACTTGTTGCTTTATTTTCATCCTGTCAACAAACTCTCAAATTAAATAAAAGGATACAAGCATGGACTGTTTGAATTTTCATCATAAGTTGACTCATCTGAACATTAGGTGCATTTATTGAAACACAAGTCAAGGTAAACCTTGACAGCAGATGAAACCGATCTGATCAGATGGAATGCAAAAATGAAATGACTCGAGCCAAGTAGTCATCCACCGCTTAAATGTGGATCCTTTAACGTAAAAAGCAATGCCTAGACAACCTTTAACAGCTAAAATGTGTCAAGTTGCTGCAAAAATGATAATCCTAATGCTTTCCTCGTGCGACGTAGTATTTCCTTTTAAGAAATCATTCTACAGCTTACCAGGATCTCCAGAATAAGGCAGTCTGAGAGAAAGAGTTACAGGTTAATAACTGTACTGATTCTGCAACAACATCCACACACATACAAAACGTTCAGTAAGAGGGATATAGAAGAAACCAATAACTATGCATATTTGAGTCGTAACGTAACTTACCTATGGCCAACTGTATTCTTTCTCCACCTTCATGCCCGAGGCAGCAGCTGCAGAACCACAATCCAGGGTGATGTACTATAAGCATCTCATTAGCAGATAAACAAAAAGACTACATTGAAGGACACCATACCATCAGTATTCCTGCCTTTAGGAGCACCATACACTTTCATGGATTTGGAATTGTGGATGCAGCACCACCAAGTGCAGTTTGTGTAGGCGCCACTGCAAATTTAATAACAAATGAAAAACAATTCTAATCCCCCAAAATTGTAGGCAATATTATCTTCTTCAGAAAATGCATATCATGACGTGCAACTTCCCTCTACTTAAGCCAAACTCAACCAAATCCAACAAAACATCAAAAGTATAAAAATTTATAGCATTATCGCAATTGGACTACTGATTATTGAAGTTGGTTAACTCCATTGAACTGAGTAAATTGCAGGAGTCCGACTGACAAAATAAAGTAAACAATGATATAAGGCCTACTTAAATCCGGATTCAAGAGTCGCAACGCAGAGTTAGAAGAGCCTACACTTCGTTTCAACTTTCGGCCTTGCGTGTAAAGATCTTTCCTATAAGATGAGAGCATCCAACAACAAAAAACAAAACAAAACATAACATGAGATATTGTGATAAAACCGAAATTCAGTACATTTGCTCAGTGAAGAAGTTGAGGATTCATTCTCAACACTCAACACATTGATATCAATCCAAAACACAGTTCCATACACTGAAGCGCTTCAGCCAATCCCTAGCCTTTTCAGCATCAGACTCCTCAGTCACATGGTCCGCTTCATCGAAGATCAAGAGATTAAGAACAACACAAGTTAAATATCAAATTAAACCAACAAAGGGCATAGAGGCATTGCTTTCGAGTTTTAACTTTTAACCATAAGTGAGGCATACATTTTGACTTCAGGTTTCGGAACCCGGCGTGGGGCAGTTTTCGGTATGAATCTCCTCTGCAGCGAGCAAACAAATATCAGAAAAAACGCAAAAAGTAAAACTTTTTAACGATTGAAACAAAAACAAGACAGAATTGACTAGCTGCAGAATATACTACTACACACACACACTTATCAAACAAACCTTTCTGGGAGCTGGTTCTCCCTCCATTGGAGATTAAACGGCAATCTTCAGATAAAATATAAATAAAATTAGAGAAAAAATTTGGTAACCCATGATTGTAAACAAGAAACCCAAATCAAAAACATGTTCAACCAATGCAAAAAAAAAAAAAAAAAAAAAAAGATTTTGGTCAAGTTGGTTCGCGCAAGACTGTTGCTTTGGGCTATTTTTTATGCAGAATGATGATGGTGGTCGTGGAGGCTAACCTGTATTGGAAGAGAGAGTGGTGGCTGATGGACACAAAGCCCAACAAACAGAGGTTTTATAGCGGCGGTGAGGCACTGTTGTGCTAGTGAGAATGATGATGGTGGTGGTGGAGGCTAACCTGTATTGGAAGAGAGTGGTGGTTGATGGACACAAAGCCCAACAAACAGAGGTTTTATAGGGGCGGTAAGGCACTGTTGTGCGGCTTCACTTGGACGTGCGGCCCTTTTGTTCCCACTCGCACCAGTTTTTCTTCCTTAATTTTCACAGTACGTGCATAAAGAAAAAACTTGCAGATTCGCATAGATTTGTTATGGTACTTCGGTTCATGAAGGGCTCAACAGTTCAGCACATATGGAAAGGCCCGGGTTGAAATGTGCTTGTGGATTGACTTGGTTATTCACGACTCATGATTGAAAGAGATAGGTATAACGGTTTCGCTCAAGATTTCAACATTACTATCACGAGACAACATAATGTTATGTATTTTAACTTTTAACTTTCTCTCGTAATATTGTATTATTTCTTTAAAATACCACGTGGCGTTCCGTACTATTAATATAAGAGCATCTGTTAGCTTTTTTTCATGTCTTTGTGTTATTAGCACGAGATATCACCGTGACAATGAACCAATGTAGTAAAATGATCATTTTGCAAGAGGTTTATTATTTAGTGGGGAACTCCTAATCATTGTTTTGTTTATGTATATGTATATACGTACGCCTTGCCGATTATTTCAAGAGGATTATCAACAGAACAAATCCTTTTCTTTTTCAAAAAGAAAACTTTTCCCACAAAAATGGTTCCGTTTCTTGTCAATTCCTCTCTGATGGAAGGAAATCCTCTCCGGATCTCTCCCACCAAAGCCCAAGATCAAGTGATTTAGACTATTAAAATTTGATCCAACGGCTAAAATTATTATAACTTCTAAATGGACCCCTCTTTTTGTAGCCGTTGAATCAAATTTCAAGAGCCCGAATCACTTGATCCTTAGGCTTTGGTGGGAGAGATCCAGAGAGGATCTCTTTCCCTCTCTGATATCATATGTTCATAGTCTGTCAGAGAAACAAGAACAAAGTTCTGGACATTAGTGATGTGGAAATATGATCATGTCGAAATGAGCACAGAAAATAAACGGAAAAACAGCGTTACTCCAAACCCTAATTAACAAGGTGATCGAAAAGGTTCTCAAGATACTACCATTTGATTTCTTGTCTTCCATGGACAATCGAACCCGCATACTTCATTCCTCCCCAAACTCTTATATTCAAACAGGAGTGCCAGTGCTAAGAACATATGGCATTGGAATCATCCGTTCATCAAACTAGTTGACAAGTGACATGACATACATCAAATTACTTTTCTTGCTTCCTAATTTCTTGCTGATTGCTGCACTGCTTGAACGGTTGCAATGAGTTGAGCCATAATGGCAGCATACTGGACAGCAGTATGTTGTGAAGTATATTGGTCTCCAAGGCCATACTCGGAAAAGTTTGGTTCCACATGCATGAAGTGTCCTGGCAATGATCTTTTCGCCAAAGCCTGCTGCCAAATATCCATGAACTCTTCCATGACTTGCCTCGCTTTTTCCATCGAAGAAATGGGAAGGTACTCCAGCTGCAGAACATATGTAACTTCAATTAACAAGGATCTAGTACAATGACAACATGAAATTATTTCTCAGAATTGCAAATTTGCCTTTCTATGGGAAGTAATTGAAGTTAACAGGGAGATCCAGAAATCAATCCAACGGAAATATTTGAGGTCGTTAATCTATAAGGTAAAAGCTTAGGACAATAATAATGAAACCAACTTTTCATAAATTGCCAGAGCTTGGTTATTCACACTGCTCAGCAAAGCGTACTTCAGCATGTATTCCAATCTAGCCGCAAACAAACTCTAATCGAGGTATCTAAACAAGAAAACTACTTTCATCAGCATTACTATCAGCATTAACTCTTCCAACAAAGAGATCCTAAACAACCGTCAAAAACACTCGAATAAAACAAAAAGGCACTTCTTAAATTGCAACCCTTGTCAAAGTTCTAATATATTTTAAAATGCACATCTAACTTCTTAAACACTCATAAGTTTGCTAAATATCGAAATGGCAAACCCCGTGAAAAGAAAAACTAATCAGATCTCAACCAAATTTAAAGCCTAGAGCAAGTCCATACCTCCATAACTATTCCTCTCAAATTTTCTGAATGAGTAGGAATAACTTTCCCCACTCTCAATTGGAAGTCCCCGAGTTGATAATGAAACCCCTACGCATTAAACCATAAACCACCAAAGAATCAAATAAAACAATTTTCTCAATTTCAACCTCCAAAATTCAGAACACCAAACCTTCCAACTACACCAATTGAAGGGGGAAGGAGGGGGGAAACCTCAAAATAAAGCGAGACCCTTGATTTGTAAGACTGTAACTTCTCCATAATCGTCTGAATTGATGAATCCGCCTCGAGAATTATCCGCTGCAACCGCATTATCAGGTAGTACTTACTGGGTTGCTCCGGCAGCGCAATCCCCAGAAAATCACGTGCGGCCTCCCCCGTTAAAGAGGCCTCTGATGATGCACATAAAATGTACCATATCAAAATCTAATTTTTCAAACAATTAACAAAACCCACAGACAAGATAGAAAAACAAAACAAATACAAACATAAAATATGAGAAATTTAGTTATTTACCTCGCAGTATGGGTTTGTAGAAGGTGATGGTGGCTTTCCACCTGCCTTCCTTGACGCCATTGATGCTCTCGACGCACTGCGTGACTTCGTTTATGATCTGACTGTTGACCGTCGTCCCTGCGTTGGGCTGCCAGTGCAAAACCCTAAAATTGCAAGCACCGCAAAAATCAAGCACAAAACTTTATTATACATAAATTGTCCGAATATGTGATTAGGGTTTTCAGTGATTACCATTTGAGCGGCATTGCCTCGGATATCGGAGGTTTCTGATTAGGATTTTGCAGTCGATGTAGGACACTGACGGAGGAGATAAAGGGTTTTAGTGAGATAAGCAGAAGTAAAAGAAATTGGGATGCAAATGCATAAGCTGCAGAATCAATGAGCAAAGAATTTGAGAGGTAAACGGAAGATGAGACTGAACAAAATCTACAAAAAAATGGGAAATTTCAGGTAGCAGGAGAGAGAGATACCTGGATGCCGAGCTGAGAGGAAAGACAGATGATAGAGGAGAGAGAAAGGGAGGGTGTAATTGAATTTTACTTGATTTTATTTGAAATCCTAAGAAGACAAATGAGTGGGATTACTTTGATTTTCGTTAAAAGCTAATTTAAATTATATTTTGTTAATTTACTTTCTTTCATGTTTTTAAAAAAAATAAAAAATTCTTTAAGATTGTTAAACCATTCTTTATTAATAGATTTTAAAATTAAAGTATAATTGCATATTTTTATTAACTAGTTTAAAATCTTGAATGCATACATTCGGATTTTTATAAAGTATTATATGTATTTTTAATCCTAACTGAATAACTAAACTTCATAGATTAAATCTTAATTAAATACATTTGAATATGTATTCATCGTTTAATTGAATACACATAAGCCCTTTTTTATAAACTTTTTTACATACAATATTCATCGTTTTTTCTAAGTGAAATATTGTAAGTTCGATTGCTGCGAATTATGAATTTACAATTAATTTATTATAATTTAGTCATCAAAATTTCAAGTCGTTGAGATTAGCTCAAGTAGCGAAATACATGAAATAATGTTGAAATTGGGATAAGTTCATGATTCATTTTCGTAAATGTAACTAAAAGAAGAATTTTAGCTCATACATTAACCATTTTTTTTGTTTTCTAGTACAAGATATTTTTTTGTGTTTTCACGACACGGCTCAATACACCACTAGTTCAATACATTTTTAACAATAGCGAGCATCTTATGTTCTCGAATATGACTATCATAAATAAAAGTTTTAAATTAGTAATGACATCAACTAGAAAAATTATTAAACATTGACTTATATGTCTTTCGAAGTTTAGTCGTGAGCACCATGTGATGAAATTAACAGAAAATATAATAGTTGGCCGAGTACGAATACAAAGTTAATAGGGACGAGATCGAATTCAAAGTTTTTAAAGGGCGAAATCAAATTCAGTGTTTTTCAAGGACTAAATCGAATTAAAATTGAAAGGTCCTAAGAGCAAAGTAAAACCGAGTTCGAAAATTAAGTCCCTTTTGTTTATTTTATTTACAAAGGAGTCCCTGCTTTTTAGCGCGAGGCGGTTTAAAGAAAGTACAAGAAGAAAGCCTTGGTACATGAGGAGAAACAGCAGAAGGCAGAGAGTGACTGTGTGAGCGTCTTCGTCTTCTCTCAATCTCCAACCCCAAAATTCCCAGAAAAGTTGCGTTCTTTGCGTCCAATTGGCGGCATCCGTTCACGTTCTCCGGCCAGTTCGCGAAGCCGAGAAGAGATGCAAGGCGGCGCTAGGGTGCTTTCTCAGTTTTTGTGTGATTTGCGGAATCAATGGCGTGCGTGTACGTACCGGTGCAGAACTCGGAGGAGGAGGTGCGGGTGGTTCTGGATCAGCTCCCTAAGGAAGCTAATGATATCATCGACATCCTCAAGGCGGAGCAAGCCTCTCTCGATCTCTGGCTCATTATCGCGGTTGGTGTTTTTCGATTTTAAATTTAGAGCATGATTGTTTGAGGTTCTGACTATTACGTTTCAATTGTTGCGTGAATGCACGAACTTTCTATATGTTGGTGTATTAATTTCTCTGATAAAAAGTGGCGAACGTGGTGTTTAAGTTTGAATTGGTAATGCTGCAGAGAAAGTATTTCGAACACGGAAAGCTCGAGCAGTTCCGCCAGATTTTGTATTATTACCTGTCTTACAGGTCAGCTTTTACTGGCTTAAGGTGACGTAGATCAGGCATTTACTGCATTCAAGATTGTACTAAACGGAGACCGAGATAATGTTACTGCCCTTTTGGGTCTGGTATATTCATTGAATTTATCTGATTAACAATGCAATTATGCCTGCCGTTTTCATGGATTACATGCATGAAAATGTGATGAAAATTTCAGTATATGAAAAGCAAAACAGAAGATATTCGTAGCTTTTTACTTATTGCTCTTCCCTGTCTATGCTTTATCAGTGCATCAAAACTTGAACGCTGTCTCTTTTACTTTCAATAATTCATTCTATAGTCTTTTGATTATGGGTGCAAAACTTTTGTTGGGTGTCCACCATGTGATGTACTTGGCTATCCAGGAATCCATGATCGATTATGGTGCTCTGGCTAGCAAAATATTTAAGAGGAAAATTGGCAAAGGTACACTGGGGTGGATATTTTAATGGCAGATAGCAGCTAGGGAAATAAAATTTACATTGAGTTTCAGGGGGAACTCATTTGAAATATAACAGAAACAGACCTGGTTGCCCCAGAGAGAACAAATTGGGACTCACTTGGTTAGTGGATAAACACTTCAATTTGTTGTGATTTGTAAACAATTTGCCGCTGATATCTGCTGGCATGCGTTGAATTCAATCGTGGGCACTATTCAGATTCATTGGAGCTCTACAAGGTTTGTATTTTCAATCCCACTGTTTGCTAATGGAAAGAACACAAGAATGCATACATTCTAACTTCTAGAATTTGTTATTTGTGTTTGAATTGGTTGGGATTATGGCTCTTACCTAGCAGAAATTTGGTAATTTTTCTTGTGAAGATAATTTCTGTTATAAACACTGATCATTGGTGTAATTTGTATTTTGTGAATTTGATAAAGAGGGCCATGCAAGTACATCCTGATTGTCCTGCGGCTGCAAGGCTTGGCATAGGTCTCTGTTGTTACAAAATGGGTCAATTTGATAAAGCTCGGCAGGTATTTGAACGGGTTCTACAGGCAAGTGATATCAACCAATTAATGATACATTAAGAGCAGGTGAAGGTGCTATTTGCATGAAACAGTTTTTTACCCGAATGAATTTATGATTGCAGTTAGATCCACAAAATGTTGAGGCTCTTGTTGCACTTGCAATTCTTGATTGGATACTGTTTATTTAGGTCGATTGATTATTGATATCATGGGCATCCTTCTCTCTTTCAACGAGTAGTCTAACATTCAGGCTATATTATACTTAATAGCTGCTGGAATAAGGAAAGGAATGGAGAAAATGCAGACAGCTTTTGAGATATACCCTTATTGTGCAATGGCCTCGAATTATTTGGCAAACCATTTTTTCTACACTGGTCAGCACTTTGTGATTGAGCAACTAACTGAAACTGCATTGGCTGTGACCAACCATGGACCGACAAAGTCACATTCCTACTACAATTTGGCACGATCTTACCATAGCAAGGTTAGGAAAAGCTATGCTTTTTACTTTTTAAACGAAAAGGTCTTTCTTTTTCTTGGTATTATAATGTTGATGGGGTTCTTCACATTTTCTATATTGTGTTGGTTAAACATTTTGAGGCGGAAAGAGTTTTCTGCTGTACAACGTCAATGCGTTTTGGCAGCTTCTCTGCGTGTCTCTGTAGATATGGGTTGATTGTTCATTGAATGACTAGTTTTAGGCCAGCATTTTGGTTCCACATACTACTATGCTTTCTAATGTGGTGTCTAGCTAAACAAATTCCTAAGGTGGCCCCATGGTGAAATTGTCAGTAATTTTAGTTACTAACTTGCTGCTGGAAATGAACACTTTCAAACAAGTGAAGATAAATTGTTAGTCTTGTGGCCTCATTTGATTTAATGCAATCAAGGCCATTAATTTTAGCCATGCACTCAGGATTCTAAATGTTACAAATGTTTGTTGTTGCTGGATTGCAGGGTGACTATGAGAAGGCTGGAGTTTACTACATGGCATCCGTCAAGGAGATCAGTAAACCCCATGAGTTCGTATTTCCTTATTATGGTCAGTTACCATCAGCCATTAACAATCTTCTGTGCTTATACTTGTCATGAGAGTGATGTGTTGGCATAGTATTTGTAACGATAATGATGTGTGTAATGTATCTTCTGCAGACTTCAACATAATTTCTCTCTCTTTTTTTCTTTTTGTGGGTCCACATCCTTTGTTGTCATTGTTTGCATTGGCATGCATACTTCAACCAGGCCCATGACATTTTCAGCACGTGCCAAAATCTGATTGTTGAAGCATGATTAGTCATGTAACATTGTTCGCATTCACTTAGTTCTTTCATAATATTGGGCTCTTTGTGACAGGTTTGGGACAAGTACAACTGAAGATGGGATATCTTAGAAGTTCACTGTCGAACTTTGAAAAGGTTTTGGAGGTTTACCCTGATAATAGTGACACATTGAAGGTGAGTTGAAACTTGAAATGGAATAATGTTAAATGATCCATTTTTTGAATTTTTTTTGTACCTTTTCTAATTTCCCTTACCCATAGGTCCTTGGGCACATATATGTTCAGCTTGGGCAGACTGAGAAGGCCTTGGAATTTATGAGGAAGGCCACAAAAGTTGACCCAGATGATTCCCAGGTAATCAATTCTCTATATTATTCTCTGATGTGTTCTGACCTTGTGGATTTTTAAGAACTGGTTTGTGTGAATCTGCTAACTGAACACCTAAATCCACACTCGACATGTGTGTGATACTTTCTTTTTAGTATGTTGGTGTGTTCCATTTTACAGAAAGTGTGTCTCCGTTTATTAAAAAGTGGTGTATGCCATTTAGTTAGGGGTTCTCCTTGTATACACTATTTACATCATTGCTATGGTCTTTGTTGTTCTTCACACAGCAACAAAGACTATAATGCTCCCTGGAACCCTTGTGCGAGGCTGTGTCCTCATGGCTAATCTGTGATCCTCATCCTGTGCCCATACATAAACAGGATGCTTTGTCCATAACCAAGATGTTAAGAGTTGGTTTTTTTATGGTTGTGGATAGAGGTGTTGTGTGTTCATTGTGAAGATGGCTTGAAACTTTTAGTATGTATTGCAAGCCATATCCTAGCTTGAACTTATATCTTCACTACTACAACCTGACTGCAATGCAGGCCCTTCTTGATCTGGGGGAGCTGTTGATTTCATTTGATGCTGGAGCTGCTCTGGATTGCCTAAAAACTGTATGTTATTCTGTCCTATATAGCAAGAGTTTTCATCCTTACATTGAATGGGTCAGATGAATGAGCAGGATGATGAAGAGAATGTTCAAGATCCTCTTGCAGCGGTTGGGCTGGAAGATTCTGACGCTGACAAGGAGGTAGTAAATTATCTCTATAAATCCAAGGATACTAACTTATCAATTTTGTCACTACATGACTTGGACTCAAAATATTTAGACCGGATGTCGTGGTGCCTCGGCATCAATGAAGTTTTTATGGAGTAATTGTTGAAATTGTTCTGCCCGGTAAAAAATTCCTTGCTGCTGGCCATAAAATATTCACCTTTATGTTCCAGGCTGCACAATCCACAGATCGACGAAGGCGGGCATTTTCAGAATCTGGTGATGATGAGCAACAACCGGAGTCCAGTCCTGTCAGAGAAAATTCTGCAGAGTTACAGAGTGATGGAGAAGGAAGAGAAGGTGGCGGTGATAAGCAGAATGGGGACGCCGATCTTGACGATGAGGATTAAGATCCCTTCATTATGTTGAGCTCTACAAGATCAGCGGTAAATATGTCTTACAATTTTGAACAAATAATAATCTTTAAATTAAGGCATGAACTTTCTTAGTTAGACAGTTGATGTGCCGGTGCTTTGTTTTTCTGTTGGTCGTCCTGTTGGCAATTGTCAGTCGTCGATAGAGATGCATTGTGGTTCAGCAGGAACGCCGTGCATCTGTGACGGGTTGATTTCTCCTTGAGTTGAAACGACAGTGCATAAGCTGAGAGCTTTCTGCTTTCTGCTCTTCCCGAAACTGAGGTATTTGATGGACAAAACAAAACCCACTCAGATTCTGAGACATGTGAGGACTGAGACCGTGAGACGTGAGAGTGCACATGACATCTAACTTCTCTGAACGTGCTGAAATCTGAAAGCACTTCTATCTGAAAAGCACTTCTCTGAAAGCACTTATACCTAACCAGAGACCCACTCACTCAACACTGGCTTCTGCACCATTCAGATTACATAGTGCTGCTTCTGCTTAAAGCTTCCTCTCCTGCCCCGTTTCTATGACTAAACAACTTTCACGCCATGCTTTCTTTTTTCTGGTTCTGCAGGTTTAACTTTTAACAACTAACTTTAGCCCCAAGAAAGCACTACAGTATCGAAAGGGTCCATTCCCACCTTTTTTTGCCCTTTTCTCCGCTATTTCATCGCAGGCTAGTGATTTTCACGATATCTTTTAGCCTCTATTTATAAAATATTCATTTTGGAGTGCGGACGGCCCAAATTGCTATCCATCTTTAGTACCGAGTGAAGAGGATTTTCTGCACATGCCTAATTTTGTAGAATCATTAGTTAGAGTTAATTGTAAATTATGATTTAAATGCTTGGGATCCAACATAAATATTCTATTTAATACCTGAAGAATTGGCAGCTAGCTCTTTTGTCTGAAGCAGCAGAGTGGTTGACATCTTTTCAAAGCTTTATTTGGACTAAATTTTTGTGTAATTTTATAAAAACAGTAGTGTATCTGCATTGTCCAATTCACCAAAATATTATCTCTGTAAATCTACTGTCTGTCATATTTATACTTTTTAAAGGAAATATATAGCTGGTGCACGTGCATCTCTTCCTTTTACCCTTTGTTGTTTTCCTTTTTCTGGTTTCTTTTACCCATAAATATCTGAATATATGGAAAGGGATGTGATATTCACATATCCTTTTTTACTTTTCATACCCTTCTAATTTTCGGCCGTCGGATCAGATGAATTGAAAAAGATCAATAGACAGAAATTAACAAAGGGTGTGTGAGAAGTAAAATGGGGTGTGTGGATAGCACACCCCATATGGAAATACAAAGGTAAAAAAAGAGTAGGAGGACTATAAACAGAGCTAATTTAAACGTAGGGCAGTGCTATCCACACTTATTTTTACTTCTCACATATTTCTCTCAATTTTTTATCATTGCGTCAAATGGATTGAAGAATATCAACGGACAAATTAACAAGGATGTGAGAGGTAAAAATGGGTGTGTAGATATCATTACCCTAAATGTAAAGGATCAGTTTCTTAAATCTGCAAATCTCAGTGTTGCACGCTTGGAAATTTAAACTCATTGCACAATACACATGTCAAAATGTAATTTTTCTGAAACGAATGATCGCGAAGCCAATTGTTTTTCATTTACCTCCTAAGGAATGACGAAAACTTATGGACGCTCAAACCGAATCATTAGTAGGTCAACTCTCACAAAAACATGAAACCTCATGTATTTTAGTCATATTTAATTACACGTTGGTCACACCAGGTGCAAGAGTGTCAGGAAGCCTTACTAAAGTTTCCTTTTGAAAGAGGAGGAGGCAGATCCATGGTCCTGATTCCTGAGGAGTCTTTTTTCGGCTAGCTCTCAAGAAAGGAGAAAAGTTTGTGTAGAAGCACCCAGACCGCGTATTTGTAAAACAGCTGTCACCAAAGTATGAGACCCCATGTATCTTGATTTAAGTAGACTCCATTTCCGCGTTCATCCGCCTAATGTGAAAAATACCCTGATTAAACAGGTCTCTCAAAGTTTTGCTATAGAGAAGAAGGAAAAGTCATTGTGATAGGAGTCGGATTCTCTCTCCCCTCACGTGTTCTACATTCATTTTGGCCGTCCAAAAACATTTATAGTGTGCTAGAAACGAAAGTAGGACACGCAGAAAGGGAGAGGAGAGAGAGAGAGAGTTATTTTCCAAATTATAGTGGCTGGTGGATGTATTTATAAGGGTGATGAATGCTTGTAGCCTTGGGTTTAGAGATTTCCAAGGAAAGATTGGAGTTTACTCTTTTGCCAACAGAACCTGAGTTGAACTGTGGAAGCTCAGAGTCTCAGAGTCAGCACTGACAAATATTTTAGCCAAAATCTTGGGTCCATTTGGGTCCCCCCCTCAATTATGTCTTCAAACAACACAAAACATCAAAAATAATCTGATTCAACCAAAAAATAAATAAACCAGATTTGGGCTGACTCATTTGGAACTATTTATGATGAAGACCAGGACATCAACCAAGATTGTCAGAGATTGTCAGAGAGAGACTTAGGAGTTAGGACCCTTCATTTAGAACACAATAATCTGATTCAACCACATTCAGACATAATATTAAATTAAAATAAAATAATTAAAAATAAATATGCCAATACTAATTAGACATTGCATTACACACACACACACTAAAAAGAAAATAAAGTAGTGACACCCTGCCAGTACAGTTTTGGCCTTTGATTCAGAGAACCAGTACTGGAAAAAACTCAGCCATCTGCAAAAAACCAAAAACATATGGAACTTATTAGACAAAGATCTCAACTGGGTCTGAATAATTATGGACACGTGTATTGGCTAATTAACCGAGGTGACCGTAGTCATATTAGCTAAAGCAGATGCACCCGAGTTTGCATCTCTTTCCGTAGTTTGAATTAATTTAAGGGCTTAGAGTAAATATTTGCTTATATCATAAACAAACTCACAAGTAAATGCATTTGTAAGTCAGCTTACTATTGTGATGTCTTGAGGTGAAGACGGGGAAGTCATGACCAGACGTAGGAATGGAGATTGAGAGCCTGGTGGTGGAAACCGATCCGCTGTTCGATGATTTATCATCCAAATCGAGCCATGAATCTTTATCTTTAGGGGGCCATTCGTCGAAGAATCGATGAATGGTCTTCTGGGATCCTTCATTTCGGTCCATAGCGTAGTAATGCTGCTGCTGCTGCTGATGATGATGATGATCTTGCTTGTGATGTTTGATGCTCTGAAGCTGCTGATCCTGCTGATCACTTTGAAAAGCAGAGCAGCTTCTCTGTTTCGACGACGAATGAAGTACTAATTGTGAGCGGTGTGAACTGCCAGGAATCGTCCAAGGATGAAGAGCCAGAGAAGCGTCTCACTGTGCCTGAAGGCTCTGAGAAGAATGCATGTTCATCCACCTCCTCCTTCATCCCGTAAGCATACCTGTTTCTTCTCCAACCAATAACAACAAAAACACAACTACAATTATCAAATTTTTTCTTGACAATACGATATTTTAAACTACTTAATTTGCAAAGAGGGCAAACAAGCTCAATAGTCTAAAGAACGAACACTGCTCTGGCCAACCGGCATAAATCACAGACAGGCACATTGCTCTGGCCAACCGGCATAAACTCACAAAGGGCACACCGCCTGGCCAACCGGCTTAAACCAAATTCGTCTACATTGCTATGGTCAACCGGCCTAAACCCACGAGCAATAAATAAGGACAGGCACACTGACATGACCGACTTAAACTTAGGACGTGCACACTACTCTAGCCAACCGGCATAAGGGCCGGGTAAGCATCGAGGACAAACACACCGCCCTTAACTGCCCTAAAATGCTTAAAACAGATGCAGGAAAATAAGTGGCATAATTTTGTGTTTGGGACAAACCTGTATTCTGAGCTGGGTTGGGGATAAGAACCAGAGTCCAAAAACAAGGAAGTAGTGTTTCTCTCTTGATGTGGGAATCCAATTCCAGGAGGCCTTGGAGAAGGTGAGTGATGATGATAGAGGAAAGGGTAAGGGTGGGAATCAGAGGAGGAGAGAGAAGAGAGCGATGAGGAAAGGGAATGAAAAGCTGCAGGACTTGGAGAAGCCGAACAAGTGTTGATTTTGGTGGTAATTATTGAAGTGTTTGATGACTTTGATGTTTTGAGAACTTCCACAGGCTTTCTTGAACGGTTTTTCCCTCTGTGCATGTGCCTCTCGCAGTATTTCGAATCCAGAAACGCCTCTTTTGAGCACCTCCATTTTTTCCCATCTGTTCTTCTGCACCTTCCTGGCTCTGGGTCTATTTTTCTTCCTAATCCCATCTGGAAACAGTTCCATCCAACTGCAAGAAAAAACCCACAACTCAAAACTTCAAAGTTCCATTCTTTTCACAAAACCAACAAATATTACGCACTCAAAACTTCAAAGTTGCATTTCTTTTACAAAACCCAGAAATAATATGCACTCAAAAGTATAAAGTTCCCTTCATTTTAGATTGAGAGAGGGAGAGAGGCTTACTGTGAGGAGGGTGGTGAGAGAAGATCTTTGGAGGGAGAGGGGAGTCCAAGCTGCAGGAGCTTCTTTTGAGGGAGAAGAGGAGATCAGGAGGGATGGAGATTCCAGAAACCATGTACTTGTAGATAAGAGCTTGGTGCTCAAGCTCCTGCCACTGAGATGGAGTGAAAGGAAACCTGCCGCTTCTTCCAGTGCTACTCATACTATTTTTTAATTATTTCCCAGATCAGAAGGAAGGAAGAACGAGCAGAAAACCAGAAACTTGGTTTTCAAAGAAACCAAAGACAAAGAGAGAGAGAGAAAGAAAAGATGAAACCTGAGACTGGTTTATTTCAGATTTCAGAGTGCAGAAACAAAGAAGAGAGAAGGGTTGGGAGAGAGAGAGAGAGAGAGAGAGAGGGAGGGAGAGGAGAGAGAGGAGAGTTGCTAATAGGTATATTTATTTTCAGGGACCATTTAGCTGCAGAATCTTCTGTACATGGATAAAACTAATGGTTCTGATTACAGTACTGCCGCTGCTGCCTCTACTGCTTGCCATTGCCATTTCCCCACCTGCCCTCTCTCTCCTCTCTCTC